ACATGGGACAACAACACATTTTTCTCTAAAACAAAAACTGGCATTTGTAATGAAAGACTGTCAAAAGCTGCAAGATAAAAACACGCAGAAGCGTAGCCTTTTCCACGTTGTCATTGTCATTGCTAATGAACTCAAGGAACATCAGGATTGCTAAAGTTCACCTCTCAGTAATATCTGAGAGGGAATTCAATGCACAAGTCACAGTACAAGGCCGGAAGAACAGACTGGCAGCCTGGACTCAAGTAAGGAAAAAAAAAACCAACATGCAGATCTCTCTCTGATGTTCCTATTCTCATGGTCCTCATAGAATCCACTTTAAGGTTTGTTTTGAAGTTCTAGAAACAGCAACCTAATTTATCATGTATAGTGATAAATGCCTATTTAATTCAACTTTACAAGAGACTGCAGACTATCTTGTCTTTAAAGAGATGTTTTCTTTTCCATTTGAAAGATTTATACTGAAACCAGAAAGTACTAAAGCCAGACATGTTTTCATCAATTCTCTACTGTCAGATATTTTCCTGCTTGCAACTAAGGCAATAACTATTTAAAGAAGACTATTTAAAGATAACTATTTAAAGAAAAAGTACTATATACATCAGTTCCTTTAAAAATATATTAATATAGCTGGCAATACATAATTTTTAATACTCAGAAAGAGAATCCACTTCTCCAGGTTTGATGACTAACTCCACAATTTTTTGAAGAAAGATCTATATTCTTTTTTGTTCGTTATTCACTAAATATTCACTTACTACTTCTCCTGGGATTAAATTTTGCTTTCACTTATGCTCATGCACATTTGTCAGTATATAAGCTTGACTTAAATTTACCTTTTCCTGTGATTTAAAATGTATGCTTACCTATTTTCAGATAAATAGTTCAGTTCTTTGTGATGAATAGTAAAGCTTCTACAGATATAGATGTGAAGAAAAAGAATAATTCAAAAAGGACTCAGTTCTGGTTTATGTCACACAGACCTTGTTCCTTTTAAGCCTTTTGCAACTGAATGCTAACCCGAGTCCAATGTATATGTCCGCTCATAGATTTTTCTTTAGGAAAAATAAAGAAAGAATAGAGCTTCTTAAGAATGGTATCCAACAGTAATATTCCAGGCAGCTTTCACCTCAGAAATAAGCAATAAGTGTTCATAACTCTCAAAGGTATTTAATTTGCTATGGAGTTCTACCAGTACTTCTCTTCCTATCTGATAAAGACTATGCTCTGGCAAAATATCAATTTTTCAAATCTGTCCAATCAGAAAAGACAGTTATTCCTAAAACTTGTTCCATTAACATTGCTAGAGCCAAAGTTTGAAAATGCTGATAACTACAATGTGACTGGAGCTTACTGGAAAGATGAGATGCATTTTATTCCACTGAAACATTTTCCATACCATTGTTGCAAAATGTTTCATGGTGAGTTACCAGGTACTAACTACATAAAGCTGTTCTTCATGTTTCAAATGTCCAAATAAAATCCAGTAAATTCATGTCTAGCTGTTCCCATGCTTCAGGCCAAGCTGTAAGACTAATTTGTTGGCAAAAATACAATGTCACCGTCTCCAAATCTACTGACTAGAAAAAATATTCATTTGACCAAACGTATTTAGATAATGCTGTCACTTCCACAGAGTCTCAGAATCCACAGCAGAGGAAAATTTCAGCCCTTACTGAAACATCAGTATGGTATTTACTGCTCATTTTCCCAGAACTCACAGATGAATTACAAGGAAGAAAAAAAAAGCATACTTATTTTGTCTCAGCTTGTACATAACAGGAACAACATTTCCTTGGAGTCGTTCCCCTTGGTAGCAGGGCACGGATGATACGTATACTGGAAAGGAAATGCATTAGGAAGGCTGATGGAGGGAAGGCCAGATGCCATGAGAAGCAAGGATGACTCTACTGGCCTGCACAACACCAGAGAGCGGCTGCTTTACCTTCTATTTTGCAGAAATCTTCCTTTGCTGCTGTATCTAACCGTATCTAAACATCCATTAGTTTCAGATGAAATGCTTATTGTTTTATCTGTATTTTGTTTCCAGCACAAAAGTAATCAAAAGAAAATAAGAATGTTGCCTGCTACATACTGATTTTGAGGAGTTTATAATTTAGGGGCAGATCTGTAATTTTGTAAAGATTTGGTGTGTAAGAAATACGTATGCATGAGATGCATGAAAAATTGAACAATAATTCAATAAATTCCACAGCATATTGATATGCATAATTTACAGAAATAGCCTTCAGGACTTTTTACTCAGCCAAATAATGTTTTATGATAATCACAGGCTCTGAAAAGGCTAAAATATTTTTTTCACTCAGATATTTGCTATCAGTATCATGGTAACCATTCTCACGACAGAAGAAAATAAACAATCATGGTAAGAAGGCCATATAATCAAAATGTGAGAATGAAAGAAAAAGGAGACATGAAAGCACTGAAAATAGGCAGGAATACTATCTTAAGAGCATTCTACTTGTTAAAAGTAGTGGAAGTGAAAGCATAAGGGCCTTCAGAAAAAGGTTTCAGACTTCTACTAAGGCCCAAGATCTCTCATGTTGATTGCGCTATTACTGCACACATATGCAAGGAATTGCAGTGTACCCAAGTAAGCAGAGCTGACAGAAATATTACAGAGAAGGGATGGCATACATGCAAAGGGTTAATCTGGTCCTGGGTGAGAATTTCCTCTCTCAAAGACTTACTTTGTGACATTAAACAACATATTTCACCCTTAAGCCAAACAGGGGTAAGTTTACTTCTAACAATGAGATATTCTTATAGGCTGAGAATACTGAGTACAGCAAGTGGTTCAGAAATTGTAACATCGCAGAATTAAAATACGTTAAAGAAAAGAGGATTGGCAACGATGGAGCAGAAGGTGAGGAAACCGAAAAAAAATGGAAGAAGAAAAAAAGCCAGAACAGAATTGCAGCACAAAGCGGAGGGAGATCAACAGAGGTAGATCAAAAGTAATGGTGGGGGGGACAGAAAGTCTCGGGAGACAGTGCCAGGAGAGCGATGGGAAAGATCAAAATATAGCACAGTCAGTGAGTCAAAAGACACAGGCATTAGTAGCTTAAGAGAGTAAAATGAGCAAGGAGGCCAGGGAAGAAACAGGCAGAGATACATAACGATAGATTTCTTTTCCATCATGCAGTATGTCTTCTAGATGTTTGCATATTGCAATTAAGATGACAGAAGTTCATTTTGTGTGTGTGTATACATCTACACAAACATGAGTTATACACACAAACAGCCAGTGTGGTTAACATGATCCAGCTCCCATGTGGACACATTTGCCGAGCGGCTGCAGGCCGAACACCAAGCCCAGCACGTCACCGGCTCAGAACCTGAGGCTGCTGCCATGTCCTGGCTGGGGAAAGATGCCACCACATGCACACCCAGGCTGGCCACGGAGCGAGCAGCAAGAGGAACGCGCAGCACCCGCAGGGCTCGGCCCTGGCAGGGCTCAGGCCATGCGTGTGGCTGAGGACTGCAGGGAATGAGGGGGAGCACCGTGCTCGGCCTCAAGTGACAGCAGGTTCGTGGGAGTGCAGCAGCACAGCGGAAGAGGCTGCCCTGAACATCTGTGGGATACAGGAGAGGCCTGAGCTGTTGCCCCCTCTATCGTGGCACACAAAAGGGAAAGTCAAGAGGGAATCAAGTCCCCAACAGCTGCCTAAAACAGACTGTCCTGTGCAGGACATCTGAATATGCACACAGAACCTTATACCTGCTTTAGAGACTCTTCTGGCAAATGAGGCACAACTGCAGGTTTTGCGGGCTGTGTTTACCTGCCAAGCTGTCAGTACATTGATCATATAACTTTCAGCAGCCAGTATCAATAAAGAAACTCAGGGAGTGCAAAGGACACAGTAAGGCAGAAAACCACAGCTAGGTTGAGTGCAAGAGTAAATGGTACTATTCATTTTTCTCTTAATTCTGTTTTATGGCCAGATTTCATAATGAGCCATATGACAGAAGTCCAGATATATAAATGCTTTTTAAAGATTATCCATGATTTATGACTGGATATCTATCTTTTCATTTGCTTCCTTTGCAAATTTTGGATTGAATTAACAGAAGTTCCCAGTGCTACAGTATGTAGCTGAGCAAGTCACCTAGATACTGTAGACATGTTTAGAAAAACTTCTAGACAAAGTTATAAATAAGCCTTGGATACAGCTATTCTCATTCTTGTTCTTCAGCATTTCTCTTTGTTCTCTTAAGGATGGAATGAGAATCTCGTGCCAGTGGAAAGACAAACTGATCTATGATGGGAGCTGACGTGCTCCAAAATAATGCTTTGGCCTTGAGGGAAGACAAAAGGGGAGAGAAAATCTGTGGAGCTGTTAGGAGGAGGGGTTCTGGTTGTTTTCATGTGTTCTTCTAAATCCCCTGTTAAAGCCCTCTCCTTCCAAAATTACAGAGAAAAAAAGCTCTAGGAAAAAGCCAACAAGGCACCATTATGATTGTCTTGTTGTTAGGGGTATACTTCAATATTTTATACTTTAAGCTATGTATACAAAGCTATAGGAACTTCCAAACAATGCATTTTCCTTGATCTTTGTGTGCAGAAATAATGGGGATAGAGATTGGAAATATCACCATATGTGTGACCTTAAGATAACTGGGCCATGAGAAGGGTTTTCTTGAGGCTCCTCCCCTGCTGCCCTGGGCATGCAGAACCTCTTGCTGTCACTTTCATAAAGACATCAACTCTAATTAAAAATTTCAGTTTCTTCCTGCTCCTGTTCCCACTGTAGGGCCCTTACATAATCTTGCAAGGACTGAAAAAAAAACAAATAAAAAAAACCCACTATGTAACTAATCTCTAGCATAGACAAATTTACAACTAGCTCGTGCATCTCTCCCTCTCAGGTAGCAGATAACAGTAAAGGACACTAGAAAAGCATAAAATGAAACAAGTGCAATAATCTTCAATACAACCTACAGAAGCTACAAATGCAAGAAGCTCATTAGCTGATACTTACGGAGGTGTCACTCCTTTGGGCAGCCCTAGTGCATTGACAGAAATAGGTGGTGGCTGGGATGGCAGCATGGAGCTGAGAAAAGCAGCTGGAGATTGGCCGGAATTAGAAAATCTAGGAGTTGGAGACATGCTGTGGGAAGGGGAAGGAACTGAAGGAAGAGGAGGGGGTGGAGGAGGTGGCAGTGGAAAGGAATCGCACACGGGATACGCTGTGGTTGGACTAAAGACAGGTGGAGGTGGCGGGGGAGGAGATGGAGAAGAAGGAGACCATGGGTACTCCCCTTCTGGAGCAAACTGCTGGGAGAACGGTGGGACAGGCGCTCTCCCAAACTGTTTCTGAGAAGCAGTAGGAGACATAGGAGAGGGAAGGCTGGATGTAGATGATCCCGAGGAAGGAGTCACGTAACCCGAAGCAGGGCTGATGTTCTGAGCAGCAATGAACTGCTTAGGCCGAGCATAGTTGAAGGAGCTGGAGGACTGCATGGTGGGAGAAGTATGAGAGTTGAGAATACTCATTGGCACAGAAGTGAGACACTGGCTGGCTTCAAGCTCCTGGAAGGAGGGGGGAGGAGGAAAGGAAGGAGAAGAGGGAGGGTGCAGATGGTGGTCGGGTTGCTGGTGGTGATGATACCGCTGGCTGCTTTCTTGCTCCAGACGAATTTGGTTCTGCAGTTGCTGTATTTTTAGAGGGTCCCTGTACAAAAAAAAAACAAAAAAGAAAAAGAAGAAAAAGACCATCAGACATGTGGTGCTCGTTGGGAAGGAGGTAAAAACTCCAAACACTGAGCTGTGGTTTAGGAAAGTCAGAAACCTGGTTTAGGAGCTATGGTTTAGGAAAGTCAGGGGAAGTTCAAAGTACTTGCATCTTGAATAGCCGTATTTCTTAAGATCTAAAACATCACTACAAAATCCTTTGATGCCAGAAAAGAGGGGAAAATGTACACACATAATAGAAATCAAAAGAACTTTAATTTTTCTGAAAAGGCAAATTATAAAAAAAAAATCTGAAGACACTTTGGGGTAGAACAAGAACAGACTAAAAGCCAAGTACACAGAAGCACTCAAAACAGCTAAGTCAACACAAATGCTGAGCGCACAGCAGTGAGGGAAACCAGAGCATGCACTGGCTTTTTTTGCCACCATACGGTTGTTTAAATGACATTATGTCCTTCCTATTATTTGCTCCTTGGCAGGAAAAAAAATACACAATAAAGTGAGAGACAGGAACATTTATGAGAGTTCAGCAGTCTATTTTAGCTGCTGTTCTGCTGAAGCAGTAGCAGTGCAATGTAACTAAGATCCCCAGGAAAATGGAGATCAAACTCAACTGTGTGGTCTCTCATCTTAGAATTCATCAGACCAAATTGCTTAAAAACTGTGATGTTCCAGCTGGAAATGATAACTTTCTCTCTGTACTCCAGATGTCTATGAAGTTTCAGCATATGCATTTTTTTGGTATATTTCATATACAAATTCTTTAATAAATACAAGTGTGTCATCGTTTATTAAATATTTTAGGTCATTTGAGCAGAGCTTTTAGAATCTGTCTACTTAATGCATGGCATGTGAATGTATGATTCTGGCAAAATAATATACTTTTGTTGGTAGCAACAAAATTATAAGTGGTAATATCATATTTTCCATCCTAAGATTAATTTTGATACTCTAACCATCCACATTTCCCAGAAAATATTCTCTGACAATAATTCTGGTTATGATCTCAAGCCAAAGAGATTGTTTAGATTAAAAGGAAGAGTGTGACAGTTCAGGTCCAGAAAACTGAGAAATCAAGTATTTACTTTAACGGTTGTTTTTTGTCTTTTTAATCACATTGACGGTTCATTCTTAACTGTCATCTCACCAAGAATATATATTTCAGTTAAGGTGATTATATTTTTCACTTTAATAAAAAAACTGCAGTAAGAAGACTAAGGGGCTGCACTCCACTCACACATTTTAGAATTTATTTTTGGATGTTGCCAATAAAGTCTAAATGTCCATCAGTTCCGCTTTCTGCTAAGACAAGGACTGCAGCTTACTCTTCAATTTTTATTAAACTATGTAAAACTATGCTATGTAAACTATACAAACGTTTCCCTAAATGGCCTAAAGCAACTTGTGCAGTACACAGTTTTGTTTCTTTTAGTTCCCATAATCTTTGTTGATGGCAGAAACACTTCAAGTCACATTTAACAGGAAAGTCCTCTACCACCTCCAGCTCATTCAGTATCTTTCAGTCGCTTCTTTGCAGACCAATTCTTGGTCAACACCTCTAAAATTATGCAGCAATAATACTTACTTTTACTTCTGTTACAGGTTTCTCCCCTTGTACTCTGTGTTTTTGTTTATTACCAAAAGGCTAAGGCTTAAAATAAAAGGGCAATGCAGCACTGAAAATGCCGTGCTAGGTACAGAAGAAATTTATCTGCCTCCAACGTTTTTCTGCTTTCCCAACATGTGCTGAAAGCCAGACTGCCTTGTCTTGGGACTTTTCTCTTTTCATTGCCAAGCGCTGTGGCCATGTGCCAGGCAACAGCATAACACAAATGACCATCTATGGCCTTGTCAGTGGTGCATATACTACGACACGCGCTGTGGCACCGACACAAACAGCGTGAAAAGCAGCCCCGGAAGCTCTGCAGGCACCCGCTGCCCCACGCACGCACCCTCTTGATCTGATGGCACAGGAATACATACACACGTGTAAGACGGATCATACGAGCTAAGGAGAGCACTAATGCTCTTGGAAGAGCTTTTTTTATTTTTTTTTTCCTTCAAGTTAGGGCTGCTTGAAAAGTGTCATGCAGACAGAATCACACATCAGCCCACATAGCAAGGAAAGCAAAGATGATCTTGCAGCAAATTTTCATTCCAGTGGTAGAAACACATGATTCTTGTCTGCAATGGAATGCTCTCCACCTCCAAAACTATTTTTTTAAACAGCTGATGATGCCCTATACTTATTAAAATATCTTACACAGATGTATCCTAGGGATGTGCCACTTTGAGGAACAAAAAAAAAGGGGGGGAGGAGGGCAAATGAATTTGCAAATGTTACTTTGCAAGAGCACTGACAGAAGTGCCAGCTCTGCAGGGAAAGCCACTGACATGTAACGCTGCGGTGCCAGAGAAGGACCCAGCAGGCAAAGGGATGTAATGGGATAGGCTTGGTGTATTGTCTCCACCAGTACTGAAACAAAGAAAGTAATTAAAAAAAAAAAAATCTTTGGATGGAATTACAGGAAAAAATCGTTTAACTGTAATTACATCCTCTTTTCAATTAGCTGAAATGTGTTTTGTAATCCCAGTGTTCTAAAGGGCACACATGCTTTGAGGGAACGTATCAAACTTGTATAAACAATAGCGAATAAAATTCCTTTTCTCATTCGGGGTTTTCATACAGTTTTATCAAACAATTAATTGCAGGAACATGAGAAGGAAAGGCTAGAAGTAAATTTTAGCTAAATCCTATCAGCAAGTGGGCAAAGAAAGTAAATAAGAAAAAAAAAAAGCTTGGGGCAAAGGAAAAAATCAATAAAGTTGACTAATCACAAGACAGGCAAGAACTAGAATTTATGCAGTTATTATTTACAGTCCAAACATGTACAGATTTATTGTCCACAATACTTAATCTTTTCTTAATTCTGCTACTAGAACGAACAGACTCAGCCTTTTCACCTTCACTTATGTTCATCTCAGGTTGTTTTCCATTTCTTGTACATTTTTTTAACTATGGAAAGAGATGGGAGAATCCAAAGATGAAGGGGAAAGAAACTCAATTTGTTCAGCAATTAGGGATGAGGATCTGGAGTTTCTCTTGCCATTATAGATATATCCTCTCACTGTATTAACAGCTACTATATTTACATCAACCTCCCAAAGGCTCCTTATTGGTGCCAGGGATTTGGGTATTTCCTCAAAACCACTACAACTGCTCAAGAACAACAGCAAACAGAAAACAGCAGAGAGGTTCATGTACCACAAATAAGATCGTATAAATATGATTTTTTAATTCTAAGAGGCTAGCATCCAATTTAAAAATCTGCAATACAGTGCAAATTAGTACAAGGGAGGAAGCATTTCAGACAGAAAAGTAGTAAAATGAGGAACTTGAATTGATTTCACAGTCTTATCCCTGGGATCTTGAACAAGTAGCTTTTCCATCTGGGCCTTAGATCCCATACTTTTCAAGTGACATATACGAACTTCAGGATGCTCAAAACTCTACTGCAGTATTCATTACCAACGTTGCTCCTACCCCACAGAAACAATGGCGCAAAGTGCTCTGTTTGCTCATGCAGCTAAAAATCAGATGGAAATTCTGACTTTTGAAGCACTTAGTTCACCACTATGCATATATATATGTACGTATACACACACAAATATATCTTAGCAGTAGTGTAAAGGAATTTTGTTACTGTAACAGTGGTACAGATACTTGCAGAAATTGAAATTTTTCAATAACACTGTCTGTATATGCTACACTTTTTAGTGACTTAATTTCATGGAATGAATGATTGAAATGCTTCCACTTTTCACTTGCACCTTGAAGTCTCCTGGCTTGCCTAGGACGAGGGAACATGGGATGTCTCATACTCCATGCTGGCCACAGCATCTTGAAGAATCAGTCCTTTAGTGCTGCTCTCAAACTCGGCCTCTTCTCCAAGCGTTCAGTGGCAGTACTGGGCATAGGGAAAATGCCTAAGTGCCAGTTTTAATAGGCCACGGGGAGCAGTGAATGGCCCTGGTGTTACCACTTGTGCTAAAGCCTTGGCAAATCAGGCTTGCTTTTCATACCAGCAAAAGTTTGGCCACAAACTGAAGCACCAAAAGTTCCACAGGAACTTAAGGAAAAATTTCTTGACAGTGAGGGTGCCAGAGCCCTGGAACAGGCTGCCCAGAGAGGTTGTGGAGTCTCCTTCTCTGGAGATCTTCAAACCCGCTTGGACGCAGTCCTGTGCCACGTGCTCTACGTGACCCTGCGTGTGCAGGGGGTTGGACTAGATGATCTCTAGAGGCCCCTTCCAACCTTAAGCATTCTAAGATTTTATGAAAAGCTTTGCAGTGTGCAGGGAGGTAAGTGTCAGCTGAGGGGCTGCTCGCTGAGTGGAGGCAGCAAACCACAGCACCGTCCCCCCTTTCCAGCCTCATTTCTGCTCCTATTTTTGACCCTGGCAGAGGCAGCAGATCCTTTCTCACCCCTCGTCTTCCCCACTGGAACGGCTAAGTTCAGTTTTGCTTTAATTGTCAAAAAAAGATTACAAGAAAATGTTGAATGATGAATGAGTCACTCTTCTGAAAATAAGCCCTTGGCTTGGAGGGCCAAACAGGTAGCAACTACCACCATGAACCATAACTCCAAGGCCTCTGAGCAAGGATCTAGAGCCAGCACTATGAGCTGGGCAGTGCAGGTAGCTGGTTGTATGACTGCTAGAAAAAGCCTACGTTTCATTTCTTAGTATATTCTATTTAATAAAAGCACAGAGGTTTACTCTATGTTTTACAACACAGTGTAGCCCCACAGATAAAGACCTGACATTAAATACATTTTTCTATGCTAGCACTTTTTAAAGTTCCTGATTTGGGCTCTCCTTGATCCTTCCTCAAGATATTAACAACAGGAAGGAGCAAATGGAAAACAGACAGAAAGAAAACAGTTTTGTTTGGAAGAAAGAGTGCTGTGTACCTCT